GCCTTCTCTTCCTGGGTGGAATTTTAAGCACAGAAAGCTGTTTCTTCAAGGGCAGAGGATGGGGAGGAAGGGGCTGCTCTGTCCTCTCTCTTTTCTGTAGGAACAAGACTGGAGTTGCCTGCTCCTCACCTCAGCAYCTCTTGGGTCTGAGATCAGCTCTGTGGGTGCTGGGGTTGGTCAGGAGGAGCTGCTGTGGGTCCAGAGATCTTTTTCCCTGGAAGCTGTTAGCTGGGATTCAGTCAACCAGGCTGGGATCTGATTTTGGGAATGTCTGCACATTGCAGATGATGGCCAGAGGGACAGGAACATCTGTTTGAGGATCCAAATAGAAATTTACTATTCCTCACTGCTGTCCTCTCTCTGCAGGACTTCCACAGCTTGGCCACATACCTGTCCCAAAATACTTCCTCCATTTTCTTAGACATCATTTCCGATTTCCATCTGCTCCTCTTCYTGGTCACAAACGAGGTCATGCCTCTGCGGGTATGTAATGGGGCAGGGAGGGTCCTGTCCCCACACCATCCCCCCCATCCCAGGGCCCTCAGGGGTTCCTCAGGTGGGTGGGGGTGACCATTCCTGCCAACCCATGTCCCTGGGCTGAGCCTGGTGCTGGCTCCTTCCAGCCGAGCTGTTGGGAGAAGGTTTAAAGGGTTTTTAAAACTATTTTCAAACTCAACACAAATCCCCCGAGCTGCTGGGAGCACTGAGGGGGGTGATTGTCCACATGATCCCAGAGTCAACTTGGCAGCAGTTCCCATAGCTGGAAACATTTTAAAAATTATCTCAGAATTAGGAATTTGGTGGGAACAATAAGGAGATCAGGGCTGCTAGAGCTCAAGGCCAGCGAGGTCCTGGCTGTGCAGCTCTGCTGCCGTTGGCCGGGCACCGGGGGCCTGGCGGCTGCCCCGGCACCACCGGAGCTTCCCGGTGAGATTCAGCTGGGCTGTGTTTGCCAGAGGCTGCGCATGTGTGAGGCAGCCAGGATCACCCTGGGCAGCTGGAGATCGGGATGGGGCCGGGGATGGGGGCTGAGTGCTCCAGCRTGGAGGGTTTGCACCTCTGCAAGTTGGGATTGACCCACAGTGGTAGGGAACACCTCCTGGAAGCAGAGGAAAGGAAGCTTTTGAGGTGTTGGGGTCTGTCTGAATGCTGGGGGAGCAGAGGAATAAACTGGGGCACCCCAAGGATGTCGGGAAAGGGGGAACAGTGCAGACTCAGGGTCCTGCCTTGCACTAGAGGGGTCCCCAGTGCTCATTTCCCACCTGTGGCTTCCAGGACAGCATCAGCTTGTTGCTGGAAGCCGTGAGGACCAAAAATGAGGAGCTTGCACAGACCTGGAAAAAATCRGAGCAGTGGGCGACCATCGAGCAGCTCTGCAGTAAGAGGGGGGTCCCTGGGGCAGGGGGGCCCTCGGGGAGGGGGGTCCCTTGGCAGAGCTGGCTGGGGGTTKTGTGGAGCTGCTCCCAAGCTGCTACAGAGGCTGCTGTTCCTTCGTCATGGAATCGTGGAGTGGTTTGGGTTGGAAAGGACCTTAAAKCTGATTCCATTCCGTCCCTTGCCACGGGTGGGGACATCTTCTGCTAGACCAGGTGGCTCCAAGCCCCATCCAGCCTGGYCTGGAGCACTCTGGGGATGGTGCAGGGCTGGTGAGTGGGGGGCTGCAGGGCTGGATGTGCAGCAGGATCCCAGCACTGCCCTGGCTCTCTCCCGCAGGCACGGTGGGTGTCCCGCTCCCGGGACTGCAGGAGTACGGCGCCATGGGGGGCTCGTCGCACGCCGTGGCCGCGGCCATGTGGCCCTGCCAGCACTGCACCTTCATGAACCAGCCGGGCACGGACCACTGCGAGATGTGCAGCCTGCCCCGTTCCTAGCCCCGCTCCTGCCCGCAGCGGCCGGTGCGGCACCTGTCCCTTCCCTCTCCTTCCTTCAGCTTCCAGCCCGGGCTGCGGAGCCGGGCACGGGTGGCTCCAGCCCCCATTTACTCCTCGCTCCCTTTTGGGGGCTCCCAGCCTGGACAACCAATGCTTTCCTCAGCCCGTGCCCGGGCTGGCCCCCCACCACCCTCAGCTGCTGCCAGCCTGCCCTGGGGGAGCTGGGGGGCTTGGCGAGGCTGCCCGTGCCCGCTTCCTACCCMAAGGGAGAGGGAGGCTTTGGCATCTCCCTGCCCACAGCTTTGCTCCCATTCCTTGCCCGCCTGAGTGCCTGGATCCCGACAGCTCCGGCACTGACCAGCCCCGGCGACACGGGCAGGTGGCTGTGACGTTCCCGGAGCAGGACAGGCACCCCTGGACACTGAGCACGGGGTGGGCACATGCCAGCTCATGGCTCCATTCTGCTTGTTGAGCTTTGGCACCCCGTGGGGGCTGCAGGAGGGGTGTCCCCYCTGGGTGCCGTGTCCCCCACCACGCATGGTTGGTGTCCCGGGGAAGGGGTGTGGGGCAGCCACGTAACTCCGGCACCCACCTCGCCTCCATCGTGCCCTGGGAGCCAGTCCTGCAGTAGGTGCCTTCCCACATCCCTCCGGAGCGTGTCCTAACCCGAGCTGGGGTCAGGGGTGTTGTCTCCCACCCTTCCTTTAGCCCCAGGCTGGGGGTGTCCTGTGCACCGCTGGGCAGGGGAGGGGCTCAGCCCTCCTCTCACAGGGCCTCTGACCCCCASGCCCATCTTGGAGCTCGCCAGCCCTGGCCCCACGGGCTCTGGTTCAATCCCGGGGCACAGGTTCCAGCGCTGCCCTGTGTCCTCTCATAGGAGGGGTTGGGAGGCCCCATCCTGCTCCAGGACAGCACTGCCCAGTCCCCAGCGGGGCCCCCCGGCCCGCCGCCCCTCGCTGGGGCTCTCCAAAGGCTTCATCCCAAGGCCCKGCTCCGGGCTGCGGTTGCTTTTCCCCTGGGTGTGCTGGGGTTTGGGGCTGCAGCGCTGGGAGCGCCCGGGCTGGGCTGGGCTGGGCTGACCCAGGCGCGGGGGCTGCAAGTAACATGGAATAAAAGCACCTCAAACCAGAGCCTSCTGCACTCTGTCACCTGTCCGGGGTGCTCCACATTCCCTGCCGGGATGGGGGAATGCTGCACTCCAGCTGGGTTCCCAGGGGAATCTGGGGGACCCTGTGTCCAGCGCTGTCTCCTGCRCTCTGGGATGGGGCTGGGATGCTCTGCATTCCCAGCAGGAAGCGGGATCGYTGTGTCCGGGCTCGTGGCCGCGGTCTGTTTGCAATCAGCCCCGGAGCCGCGTGCGGCCGGGCCCGGTGCCAGCCCCAGCCCGGAGAAGGGAGCGGGAGCGGCCGGAGCCAGAGCCGGGGAGCAGAGCCCGGGGAGCGCAGCACAGCCCGGGGAGCGCAGCCCGGGGAGCACAGCCCGGGGAGCACAGCACAGCCCGGGGAGCAGAGCCCGGGGAGCACAGCACAGCCCGGGGAGCACAGCCCGGGGAGCAGAGCCCGGGGAGCGCAGCACAGCCCGGGGAGCGCAGCACAGCCCGGGGAGCAGAGCCCGGGGAGCACAGCCCGGGGAGCACAGCCCGGGGAGCGCAGAGCGGCGGGAGCGGGGAGGTGGCACGGGTCCAGCTCAGCCCGGGGGCACGCGACACCCCTGGGGACACGGGGACACCATGGCCCGGCTGCTCCCCGTCCTGCTCCTCGCCGCTCTGGGCTGCGCGGCCAAGCCGAGCCGGCGGCCAGCGGCGTGGGACAAGGGAGCAGATGGTAATTGCCACCCCGCAATTGGGACCCCCAACCCGCTTGGGACCCCCTTCCCAGCGGCGTGTGGGCACAGGGAAGGGGCTGAGCGGGCAGCTGTGGGGCTGGAGGGGTCCCAATGAGGAGCTGGGTGAGGGGCTGTTCTTGGGGGACTGTTCTGAGGGGCTGTTATTGGGGGGCTGTTCCTGAGGGGCTGTTCTGAGGGGCTGTTCTGGGGGTCTGTTCTGGGGGGCTGTTCCTGAGGCGCTGTTCTTGGGGGACTGTTAATGAGGGGCTGTTCTGGGGGGCTGTTCCTGAGGGGCTGTTCTGAGGGGCTGTTTCTGGGGGGCTGTTCCTGAGGCGCTGTTCCTGGGGGACTGTTCTGAGGGGCTGTTCCTGAGGCGCTGTTCCTGGGGGGCTGTTCCTGAGGGGCTGTTCTTGGGGGGCTGTTCTTGGGGGACTGTTAATGAGGGGCTGTTCTGGGGGGCTGTTCCTGGGAAGCTGTTTTGAGGGGCTGTTCCTGGGGGGCTGCTCACGCTCCCAGCCCGGCCTCTCCAGCCCAGAGACCCTCGGCGAGGGGCTGCGCCAACCTAACGCTGGTCCTGGACAACTGGAAATTCGCCATCACATCCCAGCTGCGGAACCTGCTGCTGTCGGACCACCAGACCGTGCTSCCTGACTACGGGAGGTGAGGGGCCGGGGGTCCTGCAGGAAAAATTTGGGGGTCCCTGGAGGGGAACTGGGGGTCTCACACCGCTGCGCCCGCAGGATCCCGGCGCTGTCGGGGGCCCTGGACGAGCTCTACCGCGATTTCCGCGGCCTCAAGGAGCAGCTGGGCCGGCTCTCGGATCGCTTCGCCCACCTCGAAGCCTCCGTGGATCAGCTGAGCCGGGCCCGGGGCGCTGCAGCCCCGCCGCGCCGGGGAGGGGTCCCGCAGAGCCCCCGCAGGGGCCCCGGGGAGCCCGCAGTGACCCCGCAGTGACACCGGGACCGGGACTGGGGCGGGGGCGACACTTGGGGGGCTCAGACAGGCTGGGGGCATCACTCGGGGAGCTCAGACAGACTTTATGGGGGGGTGTCCATCCCCGTGGGTCAGGGTCAGCTCGGGGGGCTCTCTGCCCCGCCCGGGGGTCCCACCCGGCCTCTCTCTCTATCAATAAAGCCGCCGCCGCCAGCACCGTCTCTCTCGTTCCTTTCTCCCCGCGGGCCGGGATGGGGTTGGGGAGGGGTCGCTCATGGTTTGGGGGTTCCTCCCCTCCTGTGGAGTTGGGGTTGGGGGTCGCTCATGGTTTGGGGGTTCCTCCCCGTGGAGCTGGGGTGGGATTTGGGGGTCGCTCATGGTTTGGGGGTTCCTCCCCGTGGAGCTGTGGTGGGATTGGGGGGTCACTCATGGTTTGGGGGTTCCTCCCCGTGGAGCGGGGGTGGGATTGGGGGGTCACTCATGGTTTGGGGGTTCCTCCCCGTGGAGCTGGGGTGCGATTGGGGGGTCACTCATGGTTTGGGGGTTCCTCCCCGTGGAGCTGGGATCGGGTTGGGGGATCACTCATGGTTTGGGGGTTCCTCCCCTCCTGGGGAGCCGCCCCCCCCTTCCATCGCCGCTTTACGGCCTGTCGTAAACTCCCCCCCGCCCATTGCGGCGGCCGCCGCGCAGCCGTAA